ATTTAAATAAACGAATATATTTCGCCTATCTTCTTGACCTTAAGTCATTCAACTTCTAGCTGTTAAACTTTAAGAATATGTCCATTCGGATTTAGAAATATCTGTGAACATAAAAAAACTTTAAAATTAAAGCAACTGTGAGGAAAATCTTTGATTTTTACCGTCTTAAGTAAAGAATTTCGATTCACAAATAACGAGTTAGAAAATTCCCGTGTGAGACACTCTTTGCAAAGCGCGTGACCAAAGGCACGACTTAATTACGTATGCTAAAAACAAGAATGGCATGGACATGACGGAACTGGAATTTGGACTGATTTTTATCCATACCTTTAATTTTTGGCATACACTTTTTATCCAAAATGATTTTCACTACTTTGAGCTCTTTGAAGCTTTAACAAAAAATTATTTTCACTTTATTATTGTTCGGATTCATGTCAAAACAACAGCATTTCTGCACAGACCCATATTTCATCTAGAAGTAATACCTAACTTCCTGTCCTGTGAATAAATTTGTTGTTCTAGTGATCCTATGGTTTAAGTTAAGACCCCATCATCCTTCCACTCCCCACGACCCCGCACCCGTCCTAGCGTCTTTTTTACTGGGATAACTGTGGTTTACCAGATACTCCATGCATGTTGAAACCAGGTCCTCCAGGTCCTCCAGGTCCTCCAGGTCCTCCAGGTCCTCCAAGTCCTCCAGGTCCTCCAGGTATCCCAGCTTACCCTGGAACCAGGGTCTAGTTATTATCTTTCTTAATGACATGACCTTTATAAGGTCAATTGAACTCAAATTTATATGGTAAAACAAATCATACCACACAAACCAGACCCATTACCTGCATACAAGCACCGGAAGTCACCACATAACAATGGCTAAATCATAAGCCATATCGCCAGGCAAAGAAGAAAATATATAAACATCTTTACTAGTATATAGAACATGATAGAATGAACATGTATTTTAGAGTTAACAAATTTACGATGGTTTAGCGTGGTATGTCCTCTTATTTACCACGATATGACGTCAAAAGTTGGTGAAAATGTTATGGACTCACGAGGCGTAAGCCGAGTGGGTCCATAACTAATTTTGACCAACGTTTGACGTCATATCGTGGTAAATAAGAGGACATACCATGCTAAACCATCGTAAATTTGTTTTTTACTACAAAACTCACAAAACTCTAGGAAATAGACTGCACGAAATCTTGCATGACGCCATTTGTTGGTATGGCCTCTTATTTACGTTTTTTAACCAATCAGCGCGCGAGAAAATTTACAATTGTGGTAAAAATGTATATTTACGACTATTTTCATTGTAACGCGCTGAACGAGACAACAGTGGCGACAGTGTTCAATCACACAAATAGTTCGGTACCTTTATATTCTTTTATATTTTTATTATATAATTTGCAATATAATAGGTTTGTAAGGGGAAAAAAATACAATACAAATTGATACAAATTCAAAACGATAATTATTATCAAATATATCTAGTCTGCAGTCTGCGGTCTGCAGTCTGCGGTCTGCAGTCTGCGGTCTGCGTTTGTCCGACACCCGTGCACGCGCATGCAAAATTCCCTCCTGTTATGAAAGCTAATTCCTAAAAACAGAACGTGTGACCAAATAGATGGATCTAATTTTACTTCAATAAGAACACATTTTGCGCTTTTTATCTTTTGTTTGCTTTTTTCTTTACACGGAATTTTCGAACTAGAACGGAAAGTATCGTACTAGTAAAATAAACAATTGAGGATTGAAGCATGTCATTAGAAAACCGCAAGTCATTTTTTGTTGACACAGAAAATTTAAATTATGCAGTTAGCGAGACAGTTATCGAAACATGAGATTGAGACTTCCGCTTTGGTGCATAACTCGTGCAATCTATTAACTTATTGCTTTGACAAAAGCATGACCCACTCGGAACGACATCTCCATAGCTTGTTTAGTTGCCTGTACTGATCGATCAGGCAGCTCATAGACTTTAACAGCAGACATAAAAGAACTGTCTATTCACATTGTTGGTCACACAATGTCTTCACTTAAGCTGTTTATTTTCATCTTCGAGATTTGCTTATGGTTGCCATGCACTTCAACACTTTCGCCTCGTATATTCGCAGCCTCAGATTATTTCATCGTCAACGATCAAGAAGTTAGACAACAAACAGCAGATGATCGTGGTGTTTTAAGGAATCGTAGAACTACTTTAGACAAACTTCAACTTGTTGATAATGACGTGGTGCTTGATCCGCCGAGAGCGGAAAAAACATGTGTCTTGACTTCCATACTAACAGCAAGTCAACCAAAAGACAGAATGCCGTCACATAATCATTTCCAGGATGTCCACAAGGTTTGTTTACTAATACTCTTTTATCTATGTTGTCTAAATACATTTAGATCTTATGTGTCGCAATATTTATGCCAAGATAATTTTAAGCCATGTTATGGTTCAGATTATTATTAGTATATTCTGACCTACGGTAAATCCATACTGCTAAGATCCATAAGATGATGCAGAGAAGCATCCAGAATCCTGACTTCTTAACTATAATATAAATAGACAGCTACTGAGTGAAAAAATATCGTGACCCGGTGAGAATCGTTCCCTCACCTACTTTGCATGTATGAATTCCCTAAATTAATTTTAATTAATTTAAAAATGGCATTCCAGTGTGCGCGATAGTTGTTTGCTGTTTCGTTATGTTTCGTTTCGTTATGTTTCTGTATTGGTGATCCAACCTACGAGCCGGCCAAAACATTTTCAAGTAAAACTTTGGAGAGAGAAAAATAGCCTTAGACAGTCGTCCTTGATTTATACACATCATTATTAGATTCATAGAAAGCCTACTTCATCTATCGCTGTATAGTAAGACAAACCTGCGTTTCATCAGTGCTTGTCAGAACAGCTTGCACGAAAGCATTTTCAAAAAGAAAAGACATTTTTAAAATGGGTCGGATTCAGATGGAAATAACCTCTTTCATATTATTTTTGCCAATATAACTCTCAATATATGTGATAAATTTCTGAACCAAAACAGTTTAGAAAAAAACTTTTAATTGAAATACCTTTAGACTTCTTTGAATAAATATTTAATAAAAACATGCATTTATTTGAATAATTTTTTACTATTCTAGCCGCTTTCCCCTGTAGATCTAACCTATAAGAGTTCAAGTGACCTTTTTTAAAGGAAATAACCGTTTAACTATACGCTATGATGGAATTATTGACTAGTCTAATAGGCGACTTGCACTAAGAGGTCAAGTGATCAAATTGACCATTGTGGCTGGCATTCTACAGGATTTTAGCTATGCGAGAATGTAAAAAAAGATGGCGATTTGGGTGGCTTTTTAGGTGATAAAAGGTACGTTAGCGCACTAAATAACAACAATATTCGTAACATTCAACTATCAAGCATCCCACCCTCTGAGTTTACTAAAATACGCTAAGACCCATATCACGATTTTTGACGTAAAAATGCAATTATAAAAATAGATACAAGCTACGCCTCAACTTGTTTCCACTGGATACCCTGGATTCTTAATCAACAACTGCAATCAACCCGAGTTTTCACATTTCTGTTTATTTAGCCCTCTTGGACCGTTTGTTAAAACCATTTTGGATAGCATAGGTAGCGTACGCTGCTAACGCGTCGTGTTTCACCACTGTGCAAGGGCGGATCCAGAAAAAATTTTAGGGGGGGGGGGGGCTAATTGAGTTTCTTCAGTCAACAAAACGGAAAACAATATAAAAAAGCATCGTTTTTTTCTGCTGAAGGGGGGGCTTCAGCCCCCCTTTGCCCCCCCTGGATCCGCCCTTGCTGTGGTTTCAAAGGTTCGGTTCACTGGCTCGAGCCCTGCGGACACCATATGTGAATTGAATTTGTTTGATGTGTTGTTTTCTCCTATGTCACGAGGAAATTCTCCGGGTTCTCCGGTTTCCTCCCCTCGTAAAAGTCAGCATGTGAGTTGAGCGTTGTGT